TATAGGTTCTATTTCTTTTTTGAATGAAAAGATATAAGGGTAAAATTGTCAAATTAAACTTATTAAGCATTCAGTTATAAATATTTATCAAACAGTATAAATAAATTTAGTATTAAAATTCAGACATTCATATATTTCTTTTCAGTACTTAAAATTCAGCAAATTAATTATTTCAGTATTCAGATTTCAGAATTTAGACTTCAGAATTCAGATTCAGTTTTATCAAACGGAACCTAAGACTATAAATAATAATGTCAAATGATATGCTACCGCCATATCATAGTCAATGAAAATATTGACTTCTCTAATGTGTAAACAGTAACTTCTTAGAAAGATGAGAGAAATGCAGTTTTGGTTTTCAATGTTCGGTAGTTCTTTCAGAAAAAAAAAAAAAAAAATTCGGTAGTTGTGCAATATTAGTTTTTTTTGATAGAGAAACAAATTTGGTTCACAGTGCTCGACAGCTGTGAACATTTTAATTATTTTAATATCATGCATCAACATACAAAGAGCTCATAATCAATCAAATTCCATAGAAAAACAATCAAATACATATTATGTTACACTAATGCTAGGGAAATTAAATTAAGCAAATAAAGGAATTCATTCACGTATTCAAAGGAGAGTAAAAGTGCAAAAAACATATAGTTGCATTGGAAAAAAAAAATAGTAGCATCAATAGTAAAGAAGAAAAAGAAATGGAAATTGAGAACGAAATAACAAAAAAGAGAAATTGTACAATGAATTCAAACAAATTGGTGCTGACAGAGGATATTGTTTGAAGGCAATAATGAATAATCTAATCGCAAATGCATGATATCTTTGGTAATCTTATGCGAGACATAGGAAAGAATCAGAAAATCTCAAAAATCTATTAAAATTCATGTTTAATAAACTTTTCAGAAACATTCACAAATTTATCTTTGTATGATATTAAAATGAATAAATTTTATATACACTGATGATCAGGTGTATATATTATTAAGGTAAATTCATGCTCAATTAAATTTTTAGAAACATTCACAAATTTATCTCTGTATGATACTATCACCTTCCCCTCTCAACCCCCCCCATTATTTCACCTCACAGGAAAAACAAGAAACAATTATCCCAGAAACATAAAGCGAAGAAATCAGAAACATCTGCGCTAATATGTTGTCAATTGCTGTTGCACAACAAGAACAGAAGCCCTGCGTCTGACATCACTTGAAGCTAGCAAGTCACCAATGACTCCTATCTCTGGAACTTCACTCCATTCCTCAAGTCCTCTTGTCAATGTAGACTCTTTATTATACCTTCTTCCCACTAGAATAAGATCATATTGATCAGCCATGGATCGGACTAGCTGTACCAATTCAGGGCAATCATTTACTACCTTTTCAATGTAAGTAACATTGCCTTGACCAACTCTGTTTTGCTTAAAATCATACAGCACCTTCATGTCATTCATGTCATCCTCCATGTCGGAACCGTCACGACCCTTAGAGATGTATCTCATGACGGTGAGGTTAACATTCTCATTCCTGGTCATACGCTTTGCCAGTGTCAGTGCTTCCTGATCATCCTTTCCTCCAAGAAAGATCACAGCGACAAAGTGTGCTTTCACGGATAATGTCATTGAGCCAGAACGTCCAAGATGTCCTCTGTCAACGAGAATTCCTACTGAGCAAGGAGCCCTGTCGAGAACATTGCGATTTACCATCCTTAAACATTGATCTTCAGATTCAACTGATCCATCAATGCCCCATTTTCGGTGGAAAGGGACTATAATCAGGGAAGCAAGGACATCAAGGGCAAGCGTGCATATATCCTCGTGCATTAGGTTGCGTGGAGAGATTGCCGTGAAGGCTTGGACAGCCACGGATCCCCAGTTGTTTCTCTCAAATTGCTTAAAAGCATGTATAACATTTTCAGAGTAAGAAATATCTGTTCTCTTGTGAACTTGGTGGGATATGAAGATTGGCGAGGCTCGACCACGTAGCTCAATTAAGTGAAGGGCATGGACCACAATGGGGTTTTCTACCGTGGGAGTAGAGGCATCAAGTAGCTTTATGGTAGCCACAATGTTGTCTGATGAGTGAATGCATGCAAGTATTGGTAGCTTACCTCCATGTCTTGAGTGCATGATGTTCCTTTTCTGGTAGCTTGCATATTTTCTGCTAGGATCATAAAGCAATTGTACCATAGAAGGAACAAACATGGCTATGGCTGCTGTTGAAATAACCAACAAAGCAAAGGTCGTTTGATCGATAATCTGCATGACATAATTTATACAGGAAAAATCATCAGTGACTGTAATCGTTACAAGCACAAGGTGGAATTAGATTTGATATTTGTACTTTCAAGCTGCCTTCTGATAACTTGTTTTTCTAAATTTCAAGTGTTAATTTGTGGCGTTGTAACATCTGTCATACTTTTGTTTGTGTTGTGACAGGTGTGCAACACAAGTCCCTTACGAGGTACTATCAAAAACAGGATTGGATGCTGGATTTGAAGCCAACATTACCTTTCTAAGTCTCCTATTCTGATATCCTACACCCTGCCTGTTCATTTGATAAAGAAGAAAAGGAACCAACTTACCCCTTGGTCCCTTATGAAGCTGTACGTAGCCAAATCCACAACCCCTTTTATGCTCATGATTAGACCGAGTGCTATTGAATCATTCAAGGGCATTTTGCAATATCTTGCAACCAGGGAGCATACTATAATCTTTGATGCGAAAGGGACGACCATGAGTACGATGGACACCATGATACTGGATTTGTTTATTGCCAGTGCAGATAGACTTGTTCTCAGGGTTACCAGAGTGATGAATGTAGGCAAAAGCACACCTGAAGAAAAGGTATCAAGCTTGTCGACCAAAGCAGATCCTAAAGGCGGCCCCTCAGGTATAGCCAATCCAACAATGAAGGGCCCAAACAGCACTCCTACATCCAGATAATAAGAGAAAACACCAGAGACAAAGCAAAGAAGGATAACGAAGAAGATGTACAAATCATTTACAGGCCTGCCTTTAGGTGTCTGTTGGACTACCCACAGAAGGGCTGGCCGGATGATAAAGATAATCAAGATGACAAGAGCCATGCAAAGGAATGAATCTAGAGTTTGATTGTAGTCCTGCTTATTTTTAAGATTGGAAAACCATATTGTGTTGACTGATGTAATTGCCACTTGAAGTAAGTGAGTGATGAGACCAGAAGACATTGCTAATCGGCCAAGCTCTGTGTTGAGGATTTTGAGATCCTTAAGAAGGAGAGCAATAACTGGAAATGCTGTCATGGACTGAGCTACCAAGATTCCATAGCGGTTACGTTGTCTTCTAATCTGATCTCCTATGTAAGCATTATTAGGATTATAGCTTCTGTTCGCTAACATAGCGATTCCACCAGCTACCAAGGGCACGACTAAATTTAGAACCCCAATTGCTAGCGCTTTTGGTCCTGTTTTTCTAATCATGCCAGTGTCCATTTTCACTCCGCTCATAAACTGGAAAAGTAAGTAACCGAACGACGTAAATGCACCCAAAGTTCCTTGGCTTTTGGCGGGAAACAAAAACTTCTGGAATCTTTCATCTCTCCCCAGAAATGTACTTCCAAGGATTAGGCCAGCCTATGCCACAAAAATAACAGATCATGTTCAGTTAGTGTATGGTTTTCCCCACAAACAGAATCTAATGTCATCTCATATCTGCTTCCATAACATGTCAGTTAAAAGATCTATGAGAAAAGGTTGCCTAAACAAAATGAGCCCAAAGTCCCAAACAAAAATCTCAACCACAACAATGCATTCATAGCAATATTAGTCCAAGAAATTTAGAGAATGAACACAAGAAAATCCCACGATCAAACAGCAATAATTTGGCAGGAGACCTGGAAAATGATGCAACTCGGGAAATCTGAAAAAATGATGTTAAAGGCAATGCACATACTCCAATTTCAGAGACAATCTTGGGAATTCCAAGACGCTTGAGGGCATAATGCAAGAGGTGAGTTAGCATAAATATGAGAAGAATTTGCAGCTCCAAAATGGGCAAGGAATACATGAAAGGGTTGCTGCGTTTGTAGTGGTAAAAGAAGCCATTCGAATTGACCTTTGGAGGGTCCCTTACACACACAAAAAGAGGCCAGGTATAATTTGTAGTTTTGGGGATAACGATAGACATTTTTGTGTGGTATTGCTGCCGATTGGCACCACCACCTCCACCTCCGCCTTTGAAAAGGGACGGTGGTGCTACGGAGGAGAGAAGGGGAGGAGAGGGGAGAGGTGGAGAATGCTGATCACCTATGAGAAGGAGGGTGGAGCTGCAACATGGATATGCAGCAAAGGACGGAGGTCCCAGCAATTTGAAATGGGAATTTCGCCATTTTCGTCCCTAAATTTTTACACTAAAACCAATTTCGTCCTTTATGATATTTTTTAGCCAATTTAGTCCTTCGACTATTTTGAAGTCTCCAATGTAGGACTTTTGCAGCGGCGACACCATATTTTACATATTCTGTACAATCGATGATGGGTATAACTGTCATTTTAAATTAAATTCTTTAATTTAAATGCACCTTTGACTATAGTTCTTCTTCTCCAATGGGAATCTCATCCCATTCACGAAATTCGCACAAACTCTCACTTCACACACACATATTATATATTCTTCAGTCCACGCTGAGAAAATTGAAGACTTTCTGCTTTACGTCAAATTGATAGTTAACATCAAAATGAGGCTGAATACTTCTCACCCCTGTATGACTACCAATTACAGAATCTACTCCAACCCAATCATTTTCACGTGTAGTGAACTGGCAAAAGGTACTATCAAAAAAACTGGGAAACTAAAAGAAACAAAACGGGTAACTACTAAAACATGCACGCCCAGATGGCAAATTTTCTGCTGAAATTGGAGAAAGAGAAAAAAATAAGATAAAACCCCTATTTAAAAAAAAAACAAATGGAAGTTAAAGTAATTGATTTGTTTTCCCTTAATAGTAGTCAAAATATTAAAGGTGTTCAGAATCAGACTGATGTGCAAAAGATTGTTCAGCACAACCCAGATAATCTAATAGAGCCTCTGAACAAAAATGGTTTAACAGTCTCATCATTTCCCAAACCGCCCCATTATTTCAATGCAACATTAATATGAAGTTAAAGAGAAAACAAACACAATAAAACTTAAATCCCAGATTAGCCGCTCAAGCAGAAGCGAGAAGCGCACCCCCCCTACCCACCAAAAACGGGGGGCGGAAAGAGAAAATGCGTGGAAATCCGATCTCCATGAGTTTGTCTTGTTTCTAAAAACTTGGCCGCTAACACTCTGGTTCTTCAGTGCCCTTCCCCCTGCAAACCCAATTGTCAGTGGCACTAATAAGTAGATGTACGATATTACTCAGCTTTTGATTTTTTGTTTTTTTCTTGTGAATTTTGTTTCATGATTGAGTGTGTGTGAGAGAGAGTTTGTGTGAATTTCTGGTGAATGGGATGAGATTTCCATGGAGAAGAAGTAGTCCATTTAAATTAAAGAATTTAATTTAAATGACAAATATACCCCTCGTCGGTTGTACAGAATATGTAAAATGTGGTGTTGCCGCCGCAAAAGTCCTACATTGGAGACTTCAAAATAGTCAAAGGACTAAATTGGCTAAAAAAAATCATAAAGGACGAAATTGATTTTAGTGTAAAAGTTTAGGGACGAAAATGGCGAAATTCCCATTTGAAATTGTTGGCTCTTATATAGACCAGTAGGAGAATGCTGACAGCTCTCTTTTTAGCTACAGCAAATCCACCACTCCAATTCGTTTAATTTTTTTTTTGGGATAATTTCAAAAACCTCTCCTGAGGTTTCTGAAAGTTTTACTGCCCTCTCCTAAAGTTTTAAAAATATCATTAAACTCCCTTAAAACTAATTTTATTGTAACAAATTAGCTCAATTCAAAACAATTAATAATAAAAAAATGATTTCAAGAGTGAGAAGAATATTTCATACCAAAAGTGCCCTTAACTTATTACTAGTTGGTTGACTTAGAATCAAAAGGGAATATTAGTTAAGAATAGAAAATAAAAACTATAGTTAGAAAGTGTAAGTGAGGCAAATTACAACACTAGCATGAACCTAGTAGAATTCAGTAACAATGGCTCGCAAAATCAAAGAATTGGAGAGGAAATTTTATTAATTTTGAATCAGTATTTACACATAGAATTCCTAAATTCTTACTAGTGGAATTTAGAAGATTTTGAACAAGAATTGGATAAGACAAAGTATGGTCTCTTCAAGAAAAAATGCCACGATAAATAAAAAATATATATAAACTATGCTAAAATATTTTTTGTGAATTATTTCTTTCACTTACAAGGTCCAATATTTCACATGATTACTAAGAAATTTTTAATATTTATAACAAAAAAATAACAACTCTCAAGCAATGTTTGCATGAATAGAAAAGAAATGGCTTTAATGGAAAAATAAGTAAATCAAAGTGGAGAAAATCATTTTAACAATCTTGTTGGGATCACATATACAAAGAAAAGAAAAAAACAAATATTTTGAAAAAGAAGGAAAGAATAGACTATGTGTAGTTACACTTTATCCATTACTTAATAAAACCTAATTGTAAACATATATTAACAATTTATCCTTTTTTATGTATTTTTGTATTCATCTTGTTATTCTTATGAAAAATTTATGAAATAATAATATCTCAATAAGAATTTTAATCTTTTTTAAGGGGACGAAATTACAAGAACTACTAAAATTTAGAAAAAAATATTAAATGTTAACGGTTATCATTATGAAATTTAGTATTCAAGATTTTCAAGTTTTTTACATTCCAAATTATGGCAATACAAGTGGCTCAATTGTTTCTCCATATAACTATGTAAAATTTCCAAAGTTGCAAGGGTAATAAAGTCATTTGACCATCAATGAGGTAAGCATTGGACCCCAATTGACTAGGCCTGTCAATGGGGCGGGTCCGAGTCAGAATTCATTATTCCAGACCCAGACCCGGCATAACATACCGGACCCGAATCCGACCCGTTTACCCGACGGGTCTTTTACTCTATGTTCCGGATTCGGATCCGACGGGTCTACCCGAAAAAATTTATCAAAACTTACAATTTCTAATAAAAATGAGAAAAAAAATATATTTGTAAACTAATTTCTAACTAATACAAAAAAAAAATAAGAAAAGAAATCAAATTGACTTTACTCAAACACATCACCCTAATCAAATTATATTGATAAATATATAGATTTTAAATTATTAATCCATTTATATCCGGATCCGGGTCTAATACGGGCCGGAATACTATATTCCGTATCCGACCCCTTTTTTTGTTTGACAAAACGGATTCGGATCCAGGTCTGGGTAATGGAATTAAATCCCTACCCGTACCCGCAATAATTTCACGGATCTGGTCCTGGTCCGGGTCTGGGTCTAGACTTGGACCGTTGACAGGCCTACAATTGACTGATAAATGAGGTAAGTGATATTTTAAAAACTTTGGGGGAGGGTAGTGAAATTGTCAGGAACCTTAGGGGAGGTTCCTGAAAGTATCCCTTTTTTTTTCTGTCCTTCCTTATGATAACCTTAAATACAAAAAATCTTTTTTTGGGATACTATATATAGGGGTTTTAGCTTAAATTTAAAACTCTAGAGCTAAATCCAATGTATGTAAAATAATCTCATAATCCCCTTTTATTTAATTGTTAATTATGAAAAACTTTAACATGCTTCAAATGGTGTATTCAAATCGATCCAAGTTTGAGTAGTGCACTACTCGATCTTGACTCAAGTTAAAATAACTGGGATCAAGTTCGTCAACCTTTTAGAAGTCAAGTTCAAACTTGACTCGAGTTTGAGTTTGTAAAGCTTTTAGAAGAGTTCAACTTCAATTTATCTTACTCGAATTCGAGTTAAATCAAGCTTAATCAAGTTTAATTGAACTTATTCTAGTCTAATCGAGCTCACCTAATAAAATTAATATTTTACATATAATTTAAACAAAGGATACAATTGACATTTCACAATAAAAAAAATATAAAATATATAAAATATGCATATATATACACACACGCACTATTAGGCTCACCTAGGTTATGAATTTAAAAATATATTTTCGAACTCGACTTGTAAGAATTTTTAAGTAGTTTAAACTCGATTCAAATTTGGTCAACACCGAGCTTGAATCAAATAAATCAAGCTGCTCACGAGATTGAGTCAAATAGATCAAACTATTTGTGAGCTTTGGTCGAGTAGTTCGGTTAACTTACATTCCTATTATAATCATTTGTAGGAAGCTTTTTATACTATTTTAGTTTATGTTGCGCGTTACTCTCTGCAAACAATGTATACATCCATGCAATTAAGGGGGGCTCTTGAGTCCATTGCCTACAAGTTGAAAGTTCGGGTACTAAATTGTATCGACATTTTCAATGTCAACTGAGGATTCACTTTTCAGTTATCATAGAGTTTCTTGAAACTTGTTCTAGACTTGTTTATGCAAAAAATTATCACTGGTAGAATGTACCAAACAAATCTCAAATAAGATGTCCCCTCAACCTATTAGTGAGAAACACAAGGAATAGAAACCAGCATCAGGCTATGTCCAATTCTCTAGCATATTAACACAGCACTAGATATGGATTCATTCGATTACAAGGGTAAATTCACAGAGGTAGTCGCCTTTTTTCTCGCAAACATTTGCATTACTTTCACTAGCGATCACCTGATATACATTTGCAGGTTTATTCACTACAACTGCTTCAAGAACACATATACACTATAAACCAAAATGATTCTCCTAGCATAAAAATACAGCAAGACTTACACCAACAGATGCTGGGGAGTAAAGAAGCTTCACCTACAGCCTGGAGCACCAAAATTGGGCAATACGATGAACTTGATGGACAAAGGGTCAATGAATACAGGAGAATTTAGATCCACAAATTCTGGAGCAAGAGTTGGAATGCCTCCTCCATCAGTAAGTTTTAATGGTTTTCCATTTAGCAGCATGGTTTTGCTTTGAATATCTCCATCTTTGGGAGTTAAGTGGTATTCTTCTCGGAACAGATCTTCATCTGCTGCTTTACTTCCAACCCAGGAAACAGTCTTCTTAAGATTATGCAGAAAAGACTTTTTCTTGTTTTTTTCTTCTACGGGCAAGTCTGTATGTGTGACAGATTCAACATCGACACTGAATGCAGTTTCATTGCTTAAATTGATCAGGAGTAAAGTTACTCCTTTCTGCAACAAAAGAAAAGCATTGCTAGTTAGGAGAACAAGTTCAATTAATTTTCAAAATGATGTCACCAGAAGTAATACCCCAAATGAATAGGACCAATGTTGTTAGTACATAATTTGTAGAGGCAACCAGTGTCTTTAGGATTCAGAAATACAAATTGGTTGACCATAGCTCTTGAAGTTCACGGGGTACTATCCAGGGGGGATTGCAGAATCAGGTACACAAATGAAGCAGCTCAAAACAAGCAAGCACATTTGTGTAAGGATTTTATAGCAATCCAGGAAAGAACTTTCTTTCTGCTAGTAGAAACTTAATGAGAATGACTTTGAAGCAAATCTTTCTGATAATTTGTAGGCAGAGAGGGAAGGAGATAACAACAGTGGATGCCTACATCGGACGCCAAGCATTGACTCCATCTACAGCTAGAAATGTACGCATGCCAACAAGATACTATAGCTGAAACTAGATTTCCCCAACCAAACCACTAGCTTAATTGAAGAAAAGTTTCTCCAAGGAATACAGCAACTTCATATGAAAGAACTTTTCAACCTATTGCATTGTAGCAGCTTATTTTTCACGCATAACTGATAGCATGCTCATCAAACACCATACAGAGGCCCACACACAGACATGTAATTTGGTTGAAGCTCATTAAGCAAGGCAAAACAAAGATATAAAATTTCCGTAAAATCGGATAAAAGGTATGATTTCTACTTAACAAAAATAAGGAAAAGCAACCTTTGAGAATGCAGAAGGTCAACTACATCTCAAAAACAACAATCAGAAATATGGACAGCTTAACTTTATCAGTGATCTAGATCCACTTTAAGACGTAAGAATGCTTCCACCTATCAAGTTCATGAATAATCA